TCAATTTTGAAATTGTTATTAAAACGATTACGTGATTTACAGTTGATTTGTCAGTGCCAACAACTCTAAATTTAACAGATATTCATTTGTGATAAAATAATTATGTGTATATATTATTATTGTATATTATATTTTTATTTTAATAAATTTAACGGAAGATTATTATTCTGGGTGATATATGTACGAGACATGAATTTCTTTTTTGATGTGAAACATCTTTGGCGCGCCTAAGGGGTAAGACTCAAGCGTGGCAAGACAGGACGACGCTTCGGGTAGTCTCGTGACTAGTCCGATGTTTTCATCTTTCACTTCCTTATTTACAAAAATCAATTTCGATGTTTCACATCTGCCTTAATGATTATTTTTTTACAGTATTACGTTGATCGTATTAATTGTAACTAAAAATGGGTTAAATAATGCTTGCTAACCCAATCTAAGTTTTTGTTTTTGTGTTTTTTACTGTAAATGTTTAAAATTTATACATTAACACTGCTGAGAACTAACAAAATGTTATAGTTATTCAACGAATCTTTCTTCTTATTTTTTTATATCTTGAAATTATTATTTATTACACATCTTAATGTATTCGCAAGTAATCTATTTCTGAGTATTAATAACGAGTACTTAATAGATTATTTTGCATGCTTAAGTAACTATGCATTTCTTCTTACTTGTCTATTATTAATCCAGGGAATTAATCTTAATCGTTCTTAAAAAATAGTTTTTAAGACTCAGAAGGAAATATGAATATATATTTTTTATATATATCTGCTAATCATTATTTTGCATGTTTTATTTAATATAATTTGAACACTGTACTATGATTTGAAAAAAGCAAAACTGGTAGGGAAAATATGTCTTTTTATGGCTTCTAAAATTGAATTGATTTTTAGTTACCCTCTAAGTTACCTAATGTGATAATAATTCGGAAAGAAAGGTTTATTTTGTTAAAAAAGGTAATAGTTTGAGTTTTTCTGGCAAAATTATTTTTTATACACGGTGTATAACTGCTTGCGTTATTTTTTTACTTATCTTTAGATTAGATAGTAGCATTTTTTATAGTTCCTCTTTTTTGTGTAACACATACATAAGTAGACATTTTTTATCTATGTATATTTAAATAGAAAAAGATAACACTGCGCAAAATCATTATGACTTTTAGTGTTTCGAAGTAAGTACTAAGTGCTCTTACTAATCCTAGTCATAAACTTGTCTTTGTAATACATACAATACATTTACTGTGTAAAAAATACATACCCTATGTAAATTAAAATTGTAATAAAATGTACAATACAACGAAAACTTTGCGTTTAACTTAATATTCATTGTTTTGAGGTCAATTATATGCCCAAGTAATTAATTAATGCAACAGCCTATCTACAATAAAGTCGTTAGGAATTTCTTCAACACTTTTTCTCAATTCGTCTACTTCACAACAGTAAGAGTACCCTTTTGCAGCATTGGTGGCGTCCCATGTTATCCAGGGTAACTTTTTACAAATATCACGGCATAAAACGTCTTCCTGATAAACAAATAAATAAGGATTGTTGACTGATACAAAGGCAACTCCAGCCCTGATGTTAGGATCGTACAGCACTAACCAAAAGAGCTGAGGCACCGGAAAATATTTGTTATTGAAATCGTCAATATACAAATAGAGTTGCTGTGGTATTCCTTCTGAATCTGGCAATTGGCAAAACCCATGGGTACCAGAATACACCATCAGATCCATTCCATACATGTTAAGAAATTTTTTAATACATTTCCTTAAATGTAACCAATTTCCCATGTTGAGATTCATCCACTGTGGGGCCGTGTTAACATAATGGTGGGTCAGTGATTGAAAGGCTTCGTAAAAAAAGTCGGATTTGGAAACCAGTTGTCCCTTAACAATAACTTTGCTCATAATCGATCCGTCTTCTATATAATCTTTGCTTTCTTGGGGAAGTCCTAACTGCATGTTGATATATTTTTTATAAGCAAACTTGCGATAGATTTTATCAAATGTTATTTTCCCTAAATGGTATATATTACCATCCTGAGACCATTTATATCTCGTATTTGTCTTCTTGGTCTCGAAATGGTATTTGCTGTAGGGTTTTATTGTAAATTTTGCATACAAAGTCCTTTGAAAAATAGCATCAAAACAGAAGTTTATAATGTCTAAATAAGTATCTTCAATTTTTATGCCAATAGCCAATTCTTGATAATTATTATTGCAAATTCGATTAGTTTTTCTAATTTTAGGCAATGGGTAAGTTTCACATTTTATTGCACGAAGGGGTGACGTCCCTTTAAAAACGTCCAAGTAATAATGGTCCTTTTTGTAGCAAGTTGCATTTGTAGCTTCTTTTGATAATTTTTTGTCGTCTACAATTATTTTACTATTGGGACAGATCAATATAATGGTGTCGTTTAAGTTTAAATTGCTAGAATAATTGCTTTCTACGAGATCATATCCCAAAAAACCGTCAATTTCATTTGGTTTAAATATCAAAGGTTTCGGACCCGCGCCATTGTATTGAATGTACAAAATGCACGCTGAAATTTAGGATTAAATTTCAAATTTCATTAAAAAAAAAAGATAAAGATGAAACTTACTTATATTTAAAGCATATCCCCATAAAAGCATACTGAAGATCTAGTTTATTCAAAGTTAATTTTAAGTTGAAAGAGATAAAGTTATAAATTTATACAGGATTTTNCCATGATTCCCATGACTCGTCCCTTGCAACAACAATCGACTAGTAAACTAAACACGAGTAGTTCATTGCAGAAAAGTTCTTCTTCGCAGAAGAGTACAGGATCGGGTTCATCCGTTATACACGGAATTGGTGGGGTCAAGAAGATGCCCTTTGTACCTCCAAATTTTCCCTGCACAAGCACTTTCAAATATCCCAGTACAGATGTGCCAAAGGTGAAAGCTAAAGATGTTACCAAAACTACTTCAAGTACTTACATTTCCAAGGTAGATAATACAATAAGGATTCCTTGAATGAGGCTTAAAAGATTAATATTTTTAGGATATTTCCCATTCGGCCAAGATCTCTTCGTCTCTCTCCCAATCTGATGACGTCTCAAAATTGACAAGTCAGCTAGTCAAAGAACGTCCTAGTATTTCTATCACACCCGTGGTATCATCAACAGGGGGCGCGAGCATTGTATCATCATCTCAATCGAAAATACCAACATCGCCCATGAAAACATTACAAGAAAAACTGGCTGACAAGCAGAAAAATGCGAGCGCCAAAAACGTTTCAAAAAGCTTCAGCTTCGATAGTGTTGTCCCCAACAAACCAACAGCAGTACCATCTTCGAGTGCTTCTCAACAGATACCCACGTTTCCGAAAGAGTCGGGAATTACTGTGAGCCAGGTAAATTAAAAAATCCATTAATATCCTTTAATAATAACTAGTTTTTCCCCCTATCAGTCACTGTGAGTTCGAAACTGTTAGCACCATTGCTTTGAGTGATCGAAATTTAATTTTGTGAACAATACTATGACGTAGTGTCGGCCATCATTTTTTTAATTGTTGCTGTTGTCGGCCATCATTCTTTTCATTGTTGCTGTTGTCGGCCATCATTCTTTTCTAATTGTTGTTGTCGGCCATCATTCTTTTGTTGTCGCATTGTCACTGATGTCTGCCATTATGGTTTTTTAATAGTTGTTGTCGGCCATCATTCTTTTGTTGTCGCATTGTCACTGATGTCTGCCATTATGGTTTTTTAATAGATGTATAGTAATCAATGATTAAAATTTAAAGGAATTGTTTGTAAATAGGTATGCAACACATCGTACACTCAGCATAAGAAATTGCTGCACTAACCCCGTAATACTACTATACTTTGCCCTGTGCTGACACTACTCATAATTTCTTTTATATATAATATTTAGATAAATTTCCTATTTAGATTTCGAAAATACCCGTAACAAAACAACACCAGGAACCTCATAAATCCAAATCTGAGCCCTCAACTAAGTTATCAGTGAAAGAATTTGGATCCATAAGTATGAATATTTCCTCAACACCACCACCAAATCGTCCCATCCCAAAACCAGCAGATATACAACGTAAAGATTCGTCAGATGATGACGTTATTGTAATTGAATAAGTAGCTTTTAATTGTGATCTCGAACAAAAATTTAATTTTTAATACCTATGTAATTTTTCNCGTCAATTTCATTTGGTTTAAATATCAAAGGTTTCGGACCCGCGCCATTGTATTGAATGTACAAAATGCACGCTGAAATTTAGGATTAAATTTCAAATTTCATTAAAAAAAAAAGATAAAGATGAAACTTACTTATATTTAAAGCATATCCCCATAAAAGCATACTGAAGATCTAGTTTATTCAAAGTTAATTTTAAGTTGAAAGAGATAAAGTTATAAATTTATACAGGATTTTTCAAAGCACTAATTAACTTCACCATAAAATAACACCTCTTAATTAAAGCGTTATCGCTTTGCATATGTGTTTAAAAATTGTTCTGTTTAACTGTTTAAAAAGAAATGACAATTACACCTTTGTAAATAAAATACATACAATTATGCTTTTTAAACAATTTATCGAACATCACTGTTATTTATAATTTGTAAACATTTGTTGGTTACTTTAATAATAGTACCTTTAACTAAACCACAACTTAATTTCATTACTAAAAATGGCCCCCCACCCCATAATTTTTATTTTCTAATTATACTAACAATAAGAGATCATCTATTTTGAAGGGACTAGGTAGATTTGGTATAATCTTTCATAAATCACCTACATCACAGCAATAGAAATAACCCATCGCGACATTATGGGCATGTTTTTTATTGGGCCAATTAATACGATGATAAATATTTTCGTACAAAACATCACTCTTTTCATTAAAATATAAAGGATTATTAACACTAACAAAAGCAACACCCTGTCTTTTTACAGGGTCGTATACAACTTTCCAAAAATATTTTGGGACCGGAACGTCCCTATTATTGTTCTCATTAATATAAAGATACAGTTCTTGTTGTTTTCCATTTATATCTGGTAAAGGCCGATTCCATGGGTACCAGTATTTACGATCAATTTAGATTTTCTCTTTGTAGAAAAAGTTATTCATTGTGGGGCCGAATTTAGGTAATGAAACGTGAGCGATTGTGCGGCTCCGTATATATATTCCCTTTTAGGAGATAAATGATGACCCTTGCTCAAAAAATTACCCCCTGTCTCCATGCTTATGTACTTAGGCGAATCTGGTGCAAAAGTCAGCAACAAACAGACATGAGAAACAAAGTTCAAAAACTGTTATTTAATCACTATAAATGTAGTTAAAGTAGTAAAACATTACAAGAAAAGTAATACAGTTCTACAATTCCCTTTATATGCGGCGAGAGCAAATACTTAATGCCACTTTTGCGAATTATTAAGTTCATAATTAATTTTTAATTGGGAAAATCCGTTACCATGGTAACGTACGACCTGAAAGGAAAACTCGGAAAACTACCCCTTCTTCAATTTTGACACTTTTAACCACAAACAGTAACAATACAAACAATAAAAATGACTTTAAAATACTTGCAATGGGTAATTGCTGTTGTAATAAAAACAAAAATAAAAGGTAAGTAACAATGATCACAATAAATTGAAGGAATTCTGCAGACGATTTTATTTTAGGACAATAGTACTCTTATTAGTTGGTTTGGATAATGCTGGAAAGACTGCAGCTGCCAGAGGACTTGCTGGTGAAGCATTGGATTCTGTGATGCCCACTGTGGGATTTTCGGTGATTAATTTAAAATATCGCAACTATACAGTGCAGATATTTGATTTAGGTGGTGGAAACAATATAAGAGGAATATGGGAAAGATATTTTGCTTATGTATGTAAATTTCAATAATGGCAACCCTTTTTAAATACAAAATTGAGTTTTGATCGAATTTTAAATCTAAATTACTTTATAGGCACATGGGGTGATATTTGTGGTAGACTCTTCTGATTACATTCGTCTCCTTGAAGTGAGACAAGTTCTTTCTGACTTATTATTAAATAAAAAGATATCTGGTAAGCCAGTTCTCTTCCTTGCCAATAAACAAGACCAGAAAGATGCGCTAGACGAAATTGACTTAGTCGAGGCTGTAGAACTGGAAGAATTAGTTAACAAAGCCCAGTGTCCGACCCTTGTAAAGACTTGTTGTGCTACTCAAACGTCTAATAAGGCAAAATTAGACCCTGGCATTATAAATGGGTACCATTGGCTACTAAATTATATAATCCGACGATATCCAAGTATTCATGCTCGTGTAGAGTGCGACGTGAATAATCAAGAACTTTTAGAGAAGGCGGAGCGAAAGCAGAAGTTGGAAAAACTTAAACAAGAAATTGAGAAAAAAGTCGAAGAAAATATGTACGTCATCGAACCGTACACCGAAGAAGTAAAAGAAGCAAACGGCTTCAAAAACGGCAACGATAAGGTTCCTGTATTAACAAACTCCAACGAGATCACAGTGATAAAACAAAGCACTGAATTTGATAACAGTAGCAGTGATTCTAGTGGTTCGGTTAACTTTTATCACGGGACTGTATTTGACGCGTTAACTCGGCCCAAATCTGCCAGAGAAATGGTCAAAGAACAACTACAATTGGAGACAAATGAACGAAGACCATCCCTGAAGCGTCTATTTCGTCCTAAAACTGCCCCTGTTCAAATATACGGAGAACATCCGCGAACTGCGTCCAAAATGCGGAAAGAAAACTTAAACGAAAGGACTTTAAGATCTGCTGGTGACTCTATATTTGTTATTAGTAAATCTTCTTATACGGTCAGTAACAGTAACTACAATAACGAAGACTGTCTAGACTTGAATGATTTAGCGTGTGAACAATCCAGGTGTATAGTAAAACCACGTCCCACTTTAATTCATGTTAATGGAACGACAAATGCTGAAACTTGCTTCACAAATGATAACACTACTAGGTAATAGTACAGTGGAAAATAGAAACAAAAAGAAGGAACATTTTTGTTCAACAATTGTTACAAAACAAGCAATTACTGGTCGTATGCAGAGCTGTTGAACAAATCAAAGAGCAGTATGAAGCTCGTAAATGTATAAATAACAAAGCTCTTGAATCAAGCAGAACTAATCGTACTTTTGTTCAAAAGTTATCACTACAAATAAATTTAACATCCAAAAAAAAACTAAGAATAACTTTTTATATGCATCAGAATATATATTTAAGATCATTTTATATATTATTTANAATAAATTATAATTTAAAAAATTTAAATCGATGGAAATGAAAGTGTTTATAAAAAATTGTTAGCATTAGTAGTTGCTGTAATAATCAAATGCAGTACAATCCTGGGGACTTAAAAAAAGTTATTCCAAAGCGTTTTCTTTTTACAGAAAAAGACTTTTGAGTACTGCACAGTACGTGTACCAGGCCCTCTTTAAAGAGGGTAAAAATTCTGATATCACAGTAGAGGCTCTTGGCGAAGAATTTTACTTGCACAAGCTTTATCTATGCCAGAGTCCTTATTTTGCGAGCATGTTCGGGGGATCATGGCTAGAAACCACCAAAAGTTACATAACTATCGATGTAGTTGATCCACAAATTACAGTAGAATGTAAGTATATTTTTATTTTTTTTTTTAACTTAATTTTATTGTATTATAAATTACAGCATTACAAATCGTTTTTGGGTCATTGTACAATGATGAAGTCATCCTCAATCCCAAGGATATTGTTCCAGTTTTAGCAGCAGCCACAATGTTCCAATTGGACGGGATAATTGAGAAGTGTACTGAAGTTATGATGGAGACAATTAATCCTAAGGTAACTAGTTCTTCACCCCTATCAGTCACTGTGAGCTCGAAACGGTTAGCACCATTACTTCGAGTGGTCGAAATTCACTTTTGTGAACAATTTGTTTAATCACTTTCTTTGTGTTAAAAATTGTTTGAAAAATTAAATTTAAAGAAATTGTTTGTAAATAGGTATGCAACACATCGTACACTTCAGCATAAGAAATTGCTGATACTAACTACGTAATACTACTTTGCTCTGTGCTGACAGCACTCATAATATCTTTTATATGTAATACTAGATTAAATTAGTACCGATTTGTATCAGAAAAAAAAAACAATTTTTGTGTGCGCTGCTAAAGTCAATGTATGTTCCTAATTATCTTGTGTTACTCCAGGGTTATTTTGAAGCAAACGATATTCACAACAACAGAATTGCGGGGTTCGAGGTGAAGGCAGGGGCAAATCCGACTGTCGTTCACTGCGAGATCCATCACGGTCAAACGGGTGGAATCTACGTTCACGAGAACGGTCTCGGTCAATTCATCGACAACAAGATACACTCTAATAACTTTGCGGGTGTGTGGATTACGTCGAACAGCAATCCAACGATACGTAAAAATGAGATTTATAACGGCCACCAGGGCGGCGTGTACATATTCGGCGAGGGCCGCGGTCTTATCGAGCACAATAACATTTATGGTAATGCACTGGCCGGCATTCAAATTCGAACGAACAGCGACCCGATTGTACGGCATAATCGGATCCATCACGGCCAACATGGTGGCATTTACGTACATGAAAAGGGTCAGGGTTTAATCGAAGAGAACGAAGTGTTTGCTAACACGCTTGCAGGCGTCTGGATAACCACCGGGAGTACACCTGTTCTACGACGCAATCGAATCCATTCAGGCAAACAGGTAATTAGTAGTTTTACCCTATTAACCTGGATAGCAGTGTACTAAAAATGACTTGAGTGTATAAAATTATCTTTCTGGCTTGAACTTCATAGGATGAGATAAAAAGTGACAGTTTATTTGCCTCATTTTTACACTTTTATGTGGAGCGTGCACTGTCCAATCTCCATGTTAATATTATACATGGATATATGTTGCGTACAAAAACTGCCCCTTTTGGGTCGTATGTTTTAAATTAATTCTTACTCCAACTATAAGCACTGATAAAAATACTAGATTTTTTCTTTAAACATTGCAGGTGGGTGTGTATTTCTACGACAACGGTCACGGCAAGCTAGAAGACAACGATATTTTTAACCACTTGTATTCGGGTGTACAAATTCGTACGGGCAGTAACCCTATCATACGTGGCAATAAAATCTGGGGAGGCCAAAACGGAGGTGTTTTGGTCTACAATGGCGGCCTAGGGCTTCTGGAACAAAACGAGATTTTTGACAATGCAATGGCCGGAGTTTGGATAAAGACCGACTCAAATCCGACGCTTAAACGGAACAAGATATTCGATGGGCGCGACGGTGGGATCTGTATCTTCAATGGGGGCAAAGGTGTGCTAGAGGAGAATGATATATTCAGGAACGCTCAAGCTGGCGTCCTGATCTCCACCCAGAGTCATCCTATCTTACGTCGTAACCGTATTTTTGACGGACTGGCCGCTGGCGTTGAGATTACTAATAATGCAACGGCAACACTCGAATTTAACCAGATTTTTAACAATCGGTTCGGAGGTCTTTGTTTGGCCAGCGGCGTCCAACCTATTGTGCGTGGCAACAAAATATTCAATAATCAGGATGCGGTCGAGAAGGCGGTTGCGAATGGCCAGTGTCTCTACAAGATATCGAGTTACACATCTTTCCCCATGCACGACTTCTACAACGTAAAGGCTAGCTACGTAA